GCTCCTAATGCGATTCTAATATTTTACAGCAAAAAAATTAGACGTGCAATGCTTGGAACTAGATTCTCTAGTACACGTATGCTCTTCCTTAATAGACTTAAATTGAAAGGTTTTGTCTATTTTTGATATGAAAGATGCATAAATGACCCAGTCACATTTACATGTAACTTGAATCTTGTTACTGCAGTTCCTTTTAAAATTTAATGGTCTGCCTTGCTTGTTTGAATGCCTCACAGCCTCTCTGAATTCTATAGCATTTTTGAACTGCATGCCAACCTCAAATTCAAAATTAGAGTCATCTGCATCATTTTGATAAACTGAAATATCAGGAAAATTACATCTATGTAGCACTGTCGATTTCCTCGAATTTATGTTCAGATCATTTGCCAGCACTTTTGTGTATCACAGGCACTTGTTTATCCATCACGTCAGTCCACTCAATTTTCTTATCAATTTTCTCATCAAATTCAAAATTGTCTCCTCAAATCCGTTTTCACACTCATAATCACTATGAGTATCAGTTCCTTCTTCACTACTATCACTTGATGTCCCTGTATTAATCTGGAAGTCGACCATATCATTTGCATTTGTTGTATTAGTACCCTCATTGCCTTCTAAATCCTCAAGTAATACCCCAACAGGTTCACCAGCTTGGTCCATAAAGAAATAGTTAGAACCAACTTGACTTTCTATTGGTAATATTGGTTCGACATTCTCAATGCAGACATTCACAACTCGTTTTTTATCGACAAACTTAACTAAATATGTAACGTCAACATCAATATCCAACAGAGCAAATTCATTAAAACATGTTGTGCTACGATAAAACTTCAACCAATTATTCTTATCAATCATCTTAGCCATGGCTTGTAATATGCATCAATAGCCATAATCCCACGTTCGCATAATCAAAATAATTTACCGTACCACTAATATAACACTTACCGCTACTGTATTAAACAAAAGCATCAGAATATTTCATCCTTGTGGTGAACATGCTTGTTTCATAGTCTGTAACCGATAAAATAATGGATTAATAAGAATATATATATATATATATATATATATATATATATAGACAAACACACACAACAATGGAAGTAAATTGTTTATCTGATAGCATAAAATAATATGCACATGAACAGCCAACATATTCACATGGTAATCTCTATTTCTTCAAAGAACATAAACAATATATCAATAAAATATTTCTATTACTGTAAAAATGTTCACCAATATCCTCATCCATGAGTATTCAATCCATTGTGCATCAGCATGAACTATAAAAACCCAAAGAATTTAACTGTCGACGGTGAGTTTCAATTTTTTGCATAAAAAACAACAGTCAATAGTATTCTAATATAAATGAAATTGTTGAAGCCGTTGAGAAAGAATTTAGATCTAGCTCTAATAATTATGTCATAAGAGAATAATTTTGAATTGAGGCTTCTTCTTTTCCAACCTATCAACTATACCCTTAATTTCACATGCTCTTCACGTGGTTTCTATTTACCGGGAGAAATCCTAATAAAGAGACCAAAAATACCCCTGTTAGTTGAAAGAAAATAAACCGACACTAAAATTTTTGGCCCGAAAATATGTTTGGTGTGCAGTCCGAATGAGTAATTGCATTCTAAGGGTGGAAAATGACACCAATTTTTTTCAGGGGTGCAAATTGCTAAAACAGTATGTTTCAAGGGTGCGAAGTGGGATTAAACCTTATAAAAATAAATTGTAGACTAATAAAGAATATACAAGATGTAGAGAACAAAGTAGGGAGAATATGTAATATGTTATTCCATATATTCAAGTGTGTACAAAGCACATTACATTGTGCCATATATATATGATATGCTTATTGGCCAACCCAATGGAAATACGATTTATTTATTTACTGGGTCACGGGCCCAGTTTAGAAGTTATTACTACGAAGGCCCACACATCTTCAAATAAGGTTTGAACCCGATAAATTAATTTCGACCCAATCAATGAAGTATAAATATAACATAATTTATTAAATTAAGGTACGTTATTTTTTCTCAAGCAATCCAGCTATTACAATTCTCTCGATTATTTTACGATCCAAGTATCTGACTTAAGCATCGGAGAGGCTTCCACCGGATCAACCCCAACTTAGTTCATGTTTACTCTTTATGCATGAATCTCAAGGCCATCCAACACGTGATCAGTGACCCGATTCATCTCTTTGATTACATTAACTACTGGTGATTAATAAGCATCATCATAATGGCGTAGTCTGTGGGAATCAACACTAGATCACGTGGCAGAGAAGATGTCGTTGGGACATCCGCACCGGGGGAGTATGACACAACTACCAATCATCCCCCTCGCGGAGGTTCTGGCTTGCCGATCCGCCCTCCTCCCCAAACTCAAGCTCTACCACAAGACCATAATTAAGAGTCCCCACCGGGAATTCAAGGGGAACAACATATTCTTGCTCACCGAACGGTTCAGATAACCGAAGTGTCCCTTTATCCAGCACATGATCGAGGAGGCTTCAGCTCGTGCTGTCATTGAAGCAGTGGCACAATAAATCGCTACAATGGGAGCTAATGCTCCTCCTACAGCTCCACACGGAGTACAACCACGAGCTAACGTTCCTCCTACATCTCCACCCATGGCACAACCACCCCACATCCACCCCCACCACCATAAGATAACAAAATCCACCAGTCGGGTCGTCGACATCCACTTCAGATCCTAGGTCTCCAATGCATGCTCGGACCGACCAACAACGTCGACACCCACCTTCAGGAGGCAATGCCTCTCATCAGTGAGCTCCTCCACCTGTTGCCGGAGAGGAAGAAATTAAGAGTAGGATATCACACCGGAATCCCCTTCCCCGAATAGCTAACCCTATCGCTGGAGGAATACCAACTCCAATGAGGCGCAGTCCATTCACTGCTGACATACTCAATGAGGTACTACCTCAAGTAGTAAAGGACTCGGGCTTGCTTCAATTTGACGGAACAACTAATCGACCGAGCACATTGAGAAGTTCCACGCCATATCAGATCTATATGGCCCGACAGATGCGGCGATGTGCAAGATGTTTCGCACAATGCTCTCAAAAAGAGCCATGAACTGGTTTACCCATTGCCCACTTGATCAATCAGAACCTTCTCTCCATTATCCGAACGCTTCGCCAACCAATTCGCCATCAACAAGCAATATGCTGAGCACAACTGTTAAATCGCGCTGAAAAATATGTGCGCATAGATGAATCATCCACCCTTGCTCCTCCTAAGAGAAAGAGAGAGGATGATCGCCCCGACCATCGATGTCGAGATGACCGATGTCCACCGCCAGCATCACAGGGTCAATCCTCCTCTTCCCACTCTCGTTACACTCCACTCAATACCCGCCTTACCGAAATCCTTCATATTATAGAACATAAGGGTTTGGTGGAGCCTCCACGTCCTATGCATCCCAACATAAAATGGCAAATGTCAGATCGCTATTGTCGTTTCCACAAAGACAAAGGACACACTACTGAAGAGTGTGAACAACTCAAGCTTGCAATCGAAAGGTTGATCAAGCAGAGTCACTTGCGCTAGTATATCGAGAAGTCCCAAAATAAAAGGCGTGAGGATCACCCACGTCCATATAACAATGGAGATCAACAACAACGTCGAAATGAGAGGCCTCCTTGACACGATCGAGATGACGATGACAATCAACCCACTTGAGGGGTCATTGCCTTCATCGGCCGTGGCAACAATATATGTTCCTAAAATCTTCACATTTCTAATCCGATTGAACTGACTAAATTTTATTTGAAAATTTCTAATCCGATTGAACTGACTAAATTTTATTGTAAAGCTTACGAATAGACTTATAACACTCATGTTTCTCAATTTGTGACATTCATACGTGAAATCACTATAACAATAATAACTTGGTATATTTTGATCGTAATTTTCTCATACAAATTTTGATTGCACTATTTTAACTTGCGTTGTAAAGAGTTTAAAGACTGACATAAAAATCTACAACTTCTGTATCTTGCAACTTTTTAGATTTTCTTATTATGTATTTAAATCAAGCGGCGGATATATGCAAGCCAATTTTTTTATTAGTTCAAAGTCACATAAAGGGGTTTATTAGTTCAAGTCCGTAAATTAATTTAATTTTATTACATCAAGACCAAAGAGAACGAATATACCCTTATCCACAAATAATACCCAAATACAAACAAACCCTATTTTTAATTTGTTCAAGACCATAAAATTCAAAAAAAAAAAAAAACCCATGACTGCCGCAAGACCGCCGCGACGTCGACCGGCGTTACTTCCACCGCGCCGGTGATGACCCACGACCCACCCACCGCATCACTACAACCGCACCATCACCACCACCAGCAACAAGTAAGTCCTTTTTACTAAAGTTTTGTTTGTAAATTTGAAAACATTAATCGAACATCGATTCTTGATAAATATGCGTGGATGAACATTAATCTATGCTTATTTTTTGTTGGGTTGCAATGCTTTAGCCGATTTTGGAAAAACAATGGAGATTGAAATTGGTTTTTTTGTGTCTTTTAGTTGGTTTCCCAAATCGGTTTACGCAGACCGATTTTGTACACGAAAATCGGCGTCATAATGCCGATTTTTGTTAACCAAATCGGCGACACAACGTCGACTTTACAAGTCAAAATAGGTGTTGCAATGCCGATTTTTTTATTTTTTTTAATGTTTTTTGCTTTTTTATTTGGTTTTGAATTTCATTAAGGGTAAATTAGTATTTTTATGTTGGAGGTTTTGTACTAATAAAAAAATTGGCTTGCATATATATCGGCCGCCTTAAATCAAATGCGAAATTTTTAAACAAGATGAGAGCAATTTTTTTCATGAAGTACCTATAAATAAATAAATCATTTTTTTGGTTTAAACTTTAAATTAAAACTTAATTCAAATTCAAGGTGGGCTTATTGGTAAGTGGCCCTTTTTATGAACTTATATTTATTTATTTATTAAGATACCCTTGATTCAAACTTAGATCTCACAAGTGATATCGGAAAGAGGCGCCGCTGTGTCCGTCGTCCAACCTCTCACCCCCGCTGCAGCACCTAATCATGCTTTATTATACATACTAAATATAAATTCTGAAAATAAACACCATTAATTAATTTCTCGCAATGAAAAGTTGTGGCCCTAATTCATCTGTGAACTCCCAATTTTGATACAAAAGCTCTTTCAATTCCGAAAAAGAAAGTAGCGATGGCGGAAGTGGATCAGTTGCTCACTAAGAAAGTAGCCGATCGTTACCTGAAGCGCGAAGTACTCGGTGAAGGTACATACGGTGTCGTTTACAAAGCCATCGATACTAAGGTACAACCCCGTGTTTATTTTGTATTTTTATTATTTTTTATTTTTTAGGGTTCTCTCAATTATGCAATTCAGTATCAATTTTGCATTCCCGACCTTTTAGTGTCCGATTATTGATATTCTAGTGCTTTCCGGCCATTAATTGTCTGGAAGAGTTAGCCTAGATTTTTATAAAAAAAAGTTTTTGTTGTTTGAATAATTCGAGTATTTAGTATAATTCTTGGGTTTTTTTGTCTGGCAAGATGAAGAAGCAGCTAAACATGCTTCTGAAGTTGAGGATAAGTTAACTTGTTTTGGGGGTTTTCAGTTTGGTTTTTGGTGCAGGGGCTTCGTGAAGATATATATTATTTCTATGTGGCTATTTCTGTATGTTCTAATGTTTGAGTGTGTAGCTCAAACGCAGTAAAAAGAAATGATCTTTTGATTATAACTACATGTGCAGACAGGGCAGACAGTTGCCATCAAGAAAATTCGTCTCGGGAAGCAGAAGGAAGGGGTGAATTTCACTGCTTTGAGGGAAATTAAATTGCTGAAGGAGCTTAAGGATTCTAATATAATTGAGTTGATCGATGCGTTCCCTCATAAGGGGAACCTGCACCTTGTGTTTGAGTTCATGGAGACTGATCTTGAAGCCGTTATTCGTGATAGAAACATCGTTCTTTCTCCAGCTGATATCAAGTCTTACATTCAGATGACGCTGAAGGGGCTTGCATTTTGCCATAAGAAATGGGTCTTGCATAGGTGAATTTTGTTCTATGGGTGCTGTTTATGATGTCCGAACCTGCTTCTTTGTTTTGAATTTTTTTGTTTATTGTTATGTACAGGGATATGAAACCAAACAACTTGCTGATTGGACCTCGTGGACAGCTTAAACTTGCCGATTTTGGGTTAGCTCGTATATTTGGGAGCCCGGACCGAAGATTCACTCATCAGGTATGTTCTTTCTGATTCATTCAGATTAAGTTGTACCTGAATTACATCACATATCGGACTTGTTGCATGCAGTAGTTAGTGTTGACTCATGTATTCTCAGAGTAATGGTATTGATAAATATGAGCTCCTGTTACTAACTCATTGCATAATTTGCTTTTATGGTATTTTGGGTCGAAGTTTTTCGTCTATTTTAGTATATGTTAAGCAGTAATTTTGATTCATGTTTAGTATAATTGTGTTTCCTGGGATGCTTACCTTGAAAATAGACATTTGTAGCTGTTTTTTTTTTTTTTTTCTTTTCTTTTCTTTGGTCCTTTAACTTTTAATTATTATTGTTATTCTGTTACTAGTTGGACATGCTAGTGGGATGTCAAACTTAATATATACGTAAAAGATATAAACACTGAAAGCTCTCATAGATCTTAATCTGACATTTGAATTGATTTTTTATATCTATCTTTCATATTAAATCCTATTGAACTATGGAATACCGTATCAGGTTTTTGCTAGATGGTACAGAGCGCCTGAACTGCTGTTTGGTGCAAAGCAATATGGTCCCGGGGTTGATGTATGGGCTGCAGCGTGTATATTTGCTGAACTACTTCTACGTCGACCTTTTCTACAGGTGAAACTTAATCTCCTTATTGCCACATGTTGTCCCCTCAGACTTGTAAACATGGCTGCTTTATTTTTGTGATTATTTATGGTCTGACTCGTGAGTTTTATTGATATTGCTATCATAAGAAGCTTTGATAAGTATCAACTGTCAACCAATGACATAAATAGTATAGGCCATGTCTTGGGAGTTGTGTCCGAATGGCTGGAACCTTCAATATCATACGTTCAGTCTTCAATTAAGAAATTTTATTTGATAGAATAACTTTGAAGTGTGTTGGTAGTGCAAAGTTATTGGTCTAAAAAATAAATTTCTGCAGGGAAATAGTGATATGGATCAACTGGGAAAGATCTTTGCTGCTTTTGGGACACCCAAGCAATCGCAATGGTCGGATATGGTCTATCTTCCTGATTACGTGGAATACCAATCTGTGCCCGGTCAACCATTGCGAACATTGTTCCCCATGGCTAGCGACGACACTCTGGACCTTCTAGGGAAAATGTTTATGTATGATCCAAAATCAAGAATATCAGCACAACAGGCACTGGAGCATCGGTATGCTGAATTCAACCTTTTTTTTTTTCTTTTCTTATTCTAATGGTTGGTAGAAACACATGGGCCTTTTACATTTGCTTTTCTGTAGGTATTTTTCTTCCATACCTCCAGCTACAGAACCTGCTTTGCTACCAAGACCTCCACCAAAGAGGGAATCTGTCAATTCAGAGCCCTTGGACTTTAATCCTCAAAATGGCCCGACAGTATTGTCTCCTCCAAGAAAGCAAAGAAGAGTGATGCCTCAGCGCGAGGGGTTTGACTTAAACGGTCAACAGATGGATAAGATGGATGACCACGGTCAAGAGACAAGACAGCCAGCTGGCGAGAGGAGTTCAATTGCTCCAATGTCCCTGGATTTCTCGGTTTTTGGAAATAGGCCACCAAATAGACCAACTATTAACAGGTACGCAATTCCTAGTTGACATGCACACTTAATTATTTTCTACATACCTTTAATCTCAAGTTGCTAAAAAAAAACAGAAGACAAGTAGCTAAGTTGGTGTTTATTAGATTATCTTGAATCCAGAATAGTCGACTATATTGGGTATGTTTCAGCACACTGGTGCAGCTGAGGGGAATATGTTCAAAAGTCATATCTATTAAAAAGTCAATAAGAATCTATAGACAAGGCATAACATCGTCTTATGAACTTGCGAGGATCATCTAAAATCACTAGTGCAATTGAAGAAAATGTTATCCAGAAATCGTAAATGTAGAGGAAGAAACATAAATTTGTGTCAGCATCTTATTCCTTCCTATTAGAATGAGTTTAAGCTTTTAGGTTTATTCATCAATGAGGTGGCCAACGGCCCAGGAGTATTTGCAGAATTTCGTCTGATGTAAACAGGATCTGATAGCCCATAAAATATTTACCGTCTTTTAGGCGTAATTAACTGAAAAACCTGTATAAGTTAGTAACACATTGATCCGCATTAGATGCGAGCTCTATGAATATGGATATACTGAGAGAATTCTTGAAACTTTTGTATCACTTACCATTTGGGTCTATCTCAGAATAGCATCTTCTTCCCCAATTGGTTACACCGCCTTCATATAGTTCAGGTTTGAATGATTTTAAATGATGTTAATATAATCAAATGAATATTATATGCAAATACATAAATATACGTATAAAAGAAATTTTGAATTTGAAGTGGGTTACCTTTTTGTTGGTGTAATTTGGTTTTGGAGTATGTTGTGGAGGCGAGGGGGTGAGGGTGGTTGGGCGGGGCTGTTGACATAGACAAGGAAACAACAAGAGAAACCTAGCACTTAGAATTTAACCCTAACTAGGTCTAGGGAACTCAAAACCTATCTTGAAAAATTACTGACAAGATAACCTATTTTCTTATTATACGATCGTAACTCTAGTCATAATAAAACTGTCTATGGTAAGATTCAAAATATAACCAAGTCCGACAGTAAATGAGACTTCTTATTTGCCAGCCTATTCAGCTGCAGCAAGTTGGGATAAAATGTATAAACTGCATCCTCTTAGTCGGCTAATTCACTTCAAAACTAGGATGTAATTCACATTCAAGAATTTGTAGTCTCTTGTAATTAAGAGATTGTACTCACTTAATAAGCAAAAACTAATTTCATCTATATTAGGCTGTTTGTTGTTTAGAAAATCATTTTTTTTCTGAATGAAGGTACTATCTTTTGATTTTCTTCTGTAGTGGCAATATTTCCTGTTAGGCTGTGTTAAGCTGAAAACTATGCTTGCTAGTACAACGGCTTGAGTTTATTTTCTTTTAATCAATGAAGGCTAATAGGCTAATGCCGTCATTTTTCGTCGTAGCATTTATTAGTGACTTTAGGAACCATTGATTCCACTAATTAGTAGGTGTCAGTGTTTCGTGGTTATTTGGTTCTGTATTCAATGGTAATTAGTCAAGAACGGCCAAGAATTGAATGCTTAGCAAAAATCTATTCTATATTTACCCTTAGATCGAGTATTGGATAAATTCCCGAGGTTAAGTTCAATTACTTATAGACCCCCTCGTGTTTGAAACATATTACAGAAACCTCACTTGAAGGTCAATTTCAGCAAAAAAACACAATCTAAACTCAGTAAGTGAAAATTTCTTGTTTACCAAAATATTTTAAAAGAAGTGTTCGGAAAGTATTAATATTGAAGGACAATAATATTAAAATAACACTCTTCCTTGTCATATTTAAACACCAAAGTAACATTATTTTTTACATCTACAGTTAAACCTCTATAAATTAATATAGTCGGGACTAGGGAAATTCTATTAATTTAGCGAATTATTAAATTATTGAGTTAATAATTTAACACGTTTTCACCGAGTCGGGACCGAGAGAAACTATTATTTAAGCGAGGTTATTAGTTTATCGAGTATTAATTTATCGAGGTTCTACTGTATCTTCAGCTGCCACCTTTCCACTCTGCTGTTACATTGTTTTTGTTCTCAACAACTTTGTTACTAGGTGTTCTTAAAAGATTTGAATTGGATTTTGCGTGGTGTTCGAAAAGTAACACCGGTAATAAAATGTAAGATGTGTAGGGGCAGTTCAACCGTCACAACTTGCACGATCGCCATTCTTTTTCATCTTAATCCCAAATTAAAAAGAAAAAAGAAAAAGGGAAAAAAAAGTTTATTTCTGCTGACATCATCAATTTAGTACAAATAAATGATCGAATAGGATTTAAGTGTTGACCGGAATCAAACCTTAATGGTGAATCTTCATGGTAGTAATTGTGTGGGCTCATAAAAAGCATGTGTTTAGGGTGCATGTGATAATTTGCCAGACGATATTCTTTACTATTATTCTTAAATCATTTTTTTTTCCATTCTCTCAGTGCTGACAGATCACATTTAAAGAGGAAACTTGACCTTGAATTTCAACTGCCAGAAGAAGAATAACTTTGCGGCACGTCTCGATTTTCAGATTTTTCGTATGGTGTATAAAATCTGTCGTACCAGAGGTTTGTGTTCGCTCTCAAAGAAGATAGGCTCAAAGAATAACGGATAGATTTGTAGCCCCAATACTTAAAAACGTACAATAGATCAAAGTGAGTATTATTTTTGTCAGTTAATCATCGTATATTTGATCAATTGTCTGTGGTTTGCATGTGTCGGTTCACAGTACGAATAGTTTATTCTTGTATTCACTTGTGAGAGATCTCGATTTTTTTTTGGCTGTGACAGCAGACACTCTATTCGTTAAAAAGTGCTAATTCTCGAATATTGGAACATGTTTTCGATTTGTTGTATGGGTTTTAGAATGGAATTTGACCTGTAATAATTTTAACAAATTTTGTATATTGAATATTGTCCCCTTGGTAGGTCTTCAATGGTGTGTTTAGTTTTTGTCCTAGTGGCAGTTAGTTTGTCTGAAGAGTCTTTAAGGATATGTTTGGGAATGTTGATGGGATGATTATTGGATTGGTTTAAGATTACTGTCCGTACTTATTATCTATCTTACATTTTAGATTTGTCATTATACATAATACAATCAGGCCTCGTTTAATTAGCAAGATAAGATTAAATAATCTAATGAAATCCAATTATTTTATTGGAGCTCGCGACGTCCAACAAAAAAAAACTCAATGAAAGGCAAGATAAATAATGATTAAATAATTTTGGCGGGTCGACCCGACAATTTATTGGGGATACCAAACATCGAATTAAGTCCAACTATTTAATATAGGGGTAATGGCAAATAGGCCCATGACAAGGGCACTTAATTAAAAGAAGGACATCCAATTTTTTTGTCTTTCAAATAAATCCAATCCATTCAAACTTATTTGCAAATAAGGAAAATCCTTTCATATATACCAAAATTACCCCAATTCATTGAAACCCAATTAACCTCCAATTTCATGATTAACACCCCAATTTAGCCCAATTTCATTAATTAAACAATTTTAACCCTAATTTCAATTTTGATCCCAATTTTAACCCTAATTCTTATCAATTCCACCCATTATGCTCTAACTTCTTTAATATAACACATTGACCCCGGATTTAAACAAATATATCACATTAACCCCCAAAACATTTTTTTTTGCAGAAAATAATTTTTTTCCGGCCAGATTCCGGCGTTGACCGCTGGAGACCGCCGGTCTCCGGCATTGACTTTTTTTTTTTTTTTTTTTTTTTTTTTTTTTTTTATAATTTTGTTTTTTCTTAAAAAAAATATTTTAATTAATTTTACTGTCTTGGCTGCTAAATTACTGTCTCCGGCAGCTAATTAACTGTCGGAGACAGTAATTTAACTGTTAATTGACTTTTTTTTTTCTTCAAATTTTTTTAATTAATATTACTGTATTCGTTGCTAAATTACTGTCTCCAGCAGTTATTTAACTGTCGGAGACAGTAATTTAACTGTTAATTGACTTTTTTATTCTTAAAAAAATATTTTTAATTAATATTACTGTATTCGTTGCTAAATTACTGTCTCCGGCAGTTATTTAAATGTTGGAGACAGTGATTTAACTGTTAATTGACTTTTTTATTCTTAAAAAAAATATTTTTAATTAATATTATTGTATTCGTTTGCTAAATTACTGTCTCCAGCAGTTATTTAACTGTCGGAGACAGTAATTTAACTGTTAATTGGCTTCTTTTCATTTTTTTTCTTAAAAAAAAATATTTTAATTAATAGTACTGCCTTAGATGCTAAATTACTGTCTTCAACAGTAATTTAACTGTCTTAGACAATAATATTAATAATATTACTGTTCGGAAAAATAATATTCATAATATTACTGTTCGGAAAAAATAATATTTATAATATTACTGTACCAAACAGTAAAATTACTGTCTGAGACAGTAATTTAGTAGCTAAAACAGTAATATTAATTAAAATATTTTTTTTCTACGAAAAACAATTCAAAAAAAAAAAAAAAAAAAGTCAACGCCGGAGACCGGCGGTCAACGGTGGTTGACCGGCCGGAAAAAAAAAATCAGGAAAAAAGTATTTCAAAAAAAAAAAAAAAAAATTCAACGCCGGAATCTGGCCGAAAAAAAAACATGTCAGAAAAAAAATTATTTTCTGAAAAAAAAAAGTTTTGGGGGTTAATGTGATATATTTGTTTAAATCCGGGGTCAATGTGTAATATTAAGGAAGTAAAAGCATAATGGGTGGAATTGATAAGAATTATATTATTGAGAGTATTTTAGACTAAAGACATGGGGATGGGCTTAATTGAGAGACTGTTTTTTTTGTGGACTAAAATGCATTTAAGTCCCATGTGATGGGCCTTTTTGCCATTTGCCCTTTAATTAATCATGGCTTATCTTGGCAATCAAACGAGACCTCATTATATTATGTAATATTTATAGGTCTCATTTGCTTACTTGCATCTGATTATATTAGATTATATTTGAATATATTCGATTAAATCCCTACGGATTAAATAAATATTTAGTTAATTAAATGTTTGGATCATTAGATTACATATTGTATAAAATTTGTTAGATTCTGGTATTATATGTGAATTGTCTATAAAATCCTTTATTTAACAAATTAAAGTTATTGCAGTGTGAGGGGCGTTATTAATTTTATGAAATAATAATATTTAATTGTAAACTTTTAATTTAAAAGCATGTTTGAACAATTTTGAATCTTGCCAAATAAATATTTTGCTAACTCTTGTTATGTAGTCAATCTAACATAATAATGGCATGCAAACAAGGCCCTAATATATTGGTTGGGATAAGGTTTATATTAGATTATTCATAAAATATTCAAAATACCCCAAGTTTTCAGAATAATTATTAAACTTTTCTTTTAAATTATGGGGCATATATGATAATCTATATAATATATAAAGACAAGGTACACAATTGATGTTTTCACATCTACAATTTTGACCCCACATTTATTTTTTTATTTTCAATTTAGTTTACTTACCTTATATAATTATATTCCACAAATTTGACAATTTGAATATAAATACATATCACACGTTTTTTAGGAGAGATTTTAGGAGAGATTTCAATTGAGTTTAATTGCTTTTTATAATAGGATTTCCACATTTAATCCATTAATGAAAATAGACTAATATTTTGTGTTCACAATTATTGTAATTTCCCTATTCCACACGTTTTTAATTGATATATAAAACTGGTTTCAATTTTCCATTCACATTTTTGAAATTTTCTAAATTGCATGATTTTTGCTTAATTTACGGTAACACTAAAAAAATCGGTTTCAAAGATTAATTCATTAATATCACAATCAAATCTTTTAAATGACATGTTGATATTATTGTTTCATTAATAACTTTTTTCCTTGCTCCTAATATTTTGATATACGTTTTTTTATAAATACATATTGGATTTATTATCTAATCATTAAACATCGTTTGAAATTTTGTGGGATTTATATCTACTTACAAATAAATATTTGATATAATCTATGATATAGCAATCACCATATCACAAAATTGATTAAGCTTGACTATATTTTAAGTAGTCCGTGTATTTTTTATTTTCCAATGTTTTTTTTTATTATTTGTTTTGGATATTAGTTCATTATTATATTGACAATAATTACCAACATACTAACTATACATTAATGACAATAATAATGAACATCGGGTTTTATTAATCTATATATGGTAACGAAATCATATCATATAACAAATAATTAAGGTAATTGTTTGATTACAATCAAGTTATTTCAGGAAATTACAGATTTTATTCAATTAATCAATGAAATCCGATCAATTTGGAAGTGAATGATTTGATTTACTATAAATATCATGTGTAATTAATTGTAACAAACCCACAAAATCTTGACTATCCACGTATCTATATAATCTCAAATACCCATCCATGAGATCTCATTCATTATTTGCATCAACATTTGCTGAAATTCATCTGCACCGAGAAGGTTTGTATTAAATACTTTGTTGAACCTTCTTTCTTGCATTTTTTGTTATTGTATATAATGGCATATATGAGTTCTTGATCTTTTCCTTACTCTTTGCCATGTTGTTTCCGTCGGATTAGCTCCGTATGTGAGAATTATATTATTGACTGCTCATGAATTTACAGTACAACTAAGTTATTTCCATTTTGCTCCACTTAATTACTTTTCTATATTAATTTATATATATACAGTATTCTATATTCACTTTATACAATGCAAATTGTGCTTTAATTTGTAATTCTCAACAGTACCTCTGTGTCAACACATTCTCTTATGGATTCAACCAACAAAACTCCGACATCACCGAACACATCTCACCTGTTTGATGTTCCTATAGGTAATTGAAAAGGTCCAAATAACTTTTCAAACCATTTTATTTTTTGTCAATTTCTTACCGTGTTACATGATACTGTATTTCAATATACTTTTTTCTTCTTTTTTGTATGTATTTAGAATGTTCATCGCAACCCGTTGACAAGAATGTTCCAAAACCGAAGAGAAAGATTTATATTTCTGGTAACTTTTGACAATAAGTAACTTACCTCTTCATATTTTACAATATATATTGTACGTTTTAATATATATGTTACTGATTGACTATAATGAATAGTTTTATACAATTAAATATTTTACAAATAATTATGTAATAATACTTATTAATTGCATTCAGGTAGCGCTAATGCTAAGAGATCATCAATAATAAGGAGACCAATTGCTTTTGATAATAATATGTTATCACAAAATACGTCACAAAGTAAGAATTGTACTATTTATTATATATCCAATGTTTTTTTTATAACTATTTATATAATTTCAACTTTTACCGGTGTACAGTTCTCAATAATTCGTATGTGTTGACTGCTCATCAATACTCCATGAAGGAGAATCAGCACCCAGGAGAACGGAATACACATGAAGTGACCAATGGTGTGTATACTATACGAATACTTACCAATATAGTTTGGTATATTGACTTATTGTTATTGTGCATTGTCAAGTAATGTTTTATATATTATTATCCCACTTTAGACCAGATTGCTAACATAAAGGGAAAAAAAATCATGGACGAGTCCATAAAATCTCAAGAAGCTTCATTTTATGGAATGAGTGGTGTTCGTATGCCATCGGGTCGCGTTCTTACAGACATAACAAATGGTTAGTTATTGAACTCGTATGATAAATAAATCATGCTATGTATATTTACATGATGTTTTAAACCATAAATCAATTGTTAAAACGTAGGAATAGAATAATAATTTTATTTCACATCATCTTCGAAATCGAAATCGACCTTCTGATAAACAACATGGACACGTTTAAATTATATAGATTGTTTACATATTTTATAATTATATTGAACTAAACATGTCACATGTTTATTTTTATAGATAATCAGGAAAAGGGACAACACATTCCTACTGGAAAAAAAAACTGTTACACGATGCTTTTAATATACGACGTGTTGTTTGGACACCATCGAGTTGGATTCTAAGTGATGTATCAATTGGTGAGTCAATTGGTTATACTTAATATTTTAAACCAAGTTGCTTTTAATATATTTCACGTGGTGACGATTATGTTCTTATATGTTTATTTTAATTCCCTACTATTTATTATATTCGTCATCCAAAAGGGGAAAAACAAGTACTTGGAAAAGGAAAGGGAACTATCGCAAAACACGGAAAACCGCAGGAAAACGCATTTCATGGGGGAGTTCAAACTCCATCAAGTTGTGCTACATGGGACATAAGTAATGGTAAGATTGAATTCAATAACCTTTTAATCGTGGCATGCACACACGCTATATAATTCGTTCTTATTAACTTAAATATTAAATTTTTATTACCATAATAAGACTATAACTATGATTCCATACATCATTATTTTTTGTTCTTTTATACGAAAAACATTATACAACAATATCAAAAAAAGTCAAACATATATAAAATAATTATTTATAAAATTAAATTTAATATTTTAATATATCGTTTCATCATAATAACAAAACAGGTAATTCAAGTCATCAAAAGTCTGTAGAACACCGACAAAATAATGACGTGCAAGGATTAAATGTTGGAAACACAAAATTGACTGATGAGGCCTTTAGTGGACTAGGTGTTGTTCGAACCCCATCGAGTAGACGGAGAAAAATCCAATTTCCTATGTATAGACAGAATGATGCAAGTTTTTCATCAGCCGACAAATTGAATAGTATAAATTTAGCTACACAAAATATCCATATGGCTGTCAGTGGGAGCACGTTACACTACGAAGGTGAAGTTGTTAATTAATATTTCTAACTGCAATAACACATACAATTACAGACCATAGTTATTAAATGGTTTTTCTTGTTTTTAAATCCTGAAACAGACACATTCCGACACTCTTACAATCCTGAATCTGGCATTTATGAGATTCGGGTTAACTATCTAGATTCATTTTACGAATCCACAAAAAGGTACGTTTGTATTTTTTTATGCACATTCATATTAACTTATATAGTGAATATTATAAATTTTCTAATTATATGTTCTCGATATATTTATTAAATTATCATTTCTAATGTTAAAGATTGGAAAGAGAGTTGCAAGGAGTCAAAAAACGATACAGTCGGTTTCACGTGGATTAAGTATGGACAGTACACCAACTATATTGGTGGACGAGGATTCTCAAACAGTAAGAGATGTTATATCGGACAGTGGAGGTAACTATTATTTTTTACATTCACACACGGTTGGCGAAATAGGTCATTCAAATGCAAAAAACGAGATTTCATTGAATGATAAAAAAAATGATTTTTATTTACAGATTCTGAATATGTTTCCAACGACGACAATAGCGACGATTCATTTGATTATGATGGTATTAACGTTTTATATTATTTAAAACTATATTATTATATTGTATTCGAACTTTATGAATTACTTATACTTGATGTTGCGCTATAACAGATTACGACGATCTGGGAGACCAGTCGTACAAATGTCAATCGTGTGGTGCAAGGATGTGGTACGCTGAACGTCTTGATAAGCATAGGAACACATCGAGACCAGAGTTTTCTCTATGTTGTCAAAAAGATAAAGTACAACTGCCTGATATGAAAAATCCCCCACCTGCTCTATCCAATTTGCTTTTCGGTACGGATAGGCAGAGCAAACATTTCCAAGACAATATCCGTTCTTACAACATGATGTTTGCGTTTACATCACTTGGCGGAAAGGTACAAACATCTATTAATACTGGTGTTGGACCATACACATTTCTGCTTCAATGTCAGAATTACCATATGATGGGAAGTATGTTGCCGGAGAAAGGCGCAAGACCAAAATTTGCACAACTTTACATCTTCGATACAGAGAATGAAGTTCAGAATATAATTGACGCTGTTAGGTAAAATCCATTTCATTTTGTGCTTACGTTCGCAATATATATGATGCATTTTGAGCCGAGTGAAATTGTTTAATCATTTGAAATTGCAGGTCTGGAAATAACTCGAACAATCTTGATCCTCAAATTGTTGCATACTTGAAGGATACGATCGATGAGAACAACGTACTTGCTCAGTCGTACAGAGCTGCCCAGGATCGACTTTCCAGTGAAGGCCTGCAAGGTGTTAAGCTAAAGCTGGTCAAAAGTCGTAGCACCGATGGCAGGACTTATAATCTCCCTAACGCGAGTGAAATTGCAGCGTTGATAGTTGGAGATTTTGATACGCAAGAAGGGGTTAGGGACATTGTGTTGGAGATTCAGTCCAAGAAGTTGCAACGCATTAGTGAGCTACACCCACTGTACCTGCCGTTCCAATATCCGCTCATATTTCCTTACGGGGAAGACGGCTATAGAGAGGATATTGGTTTGAGAGACTCTTTTCGAGGTAACAAGGGAAAACGAAAAAAATTAACCATGCGAGAATACTTTGCTTACCGAATCCAAAAAAGAAGCAGCGACAGTTCAGTACTTTTGAATTCAAAAAAATTGTTCCAACAGTTTGTGGTGGACGCTTATTCTATATTGAGTCACAAAAGTTGAATTTCATTAGATACAACCAGGACCAGCTGCGTGTGGACATGTACAAAGGCATTGAAGAACGCATTTTGAGAGAGGACACTGAGGGCATATCAGCTGGTAAGCGCATAGTTCTTCCCAGCTCATTCATTCCTGGACCGCGGTACATGTTCAACAATTTTATCGATGCACTGCAAATTTGTAATTGGATTGGCTTTCCATCGTTGTTCATAACTATTACATGCAATCCACAATGACCTGAAATACAAAGGGTCCTGAATGACACAAGTCTCAGACCGGAGGATCGTCCTGATATTCTATGTCGCGTATTTAAAATGAAGTTGGATAGTTTGCTGACGGATTTCAAGAAGGGACATATTTTCGGACGAATTAGAGCGCGTAAGTAATGCATTAATGTTAAAAATTCAATATGCGGTATATTCATTACATCCATAATGGTTTATTGCTTGCATATCATTTGACTTCGTCATTTTTTTTTGCAGACGTATGTACGATCGAATTTCAGAAACGTGGTCTGCCTCACACACATATATTGTTGTGGTTGGATAACGATGCCAAACCGAAGTGCTCCGCCGACATCGACCGGATGATTTGTGTAGAAATTCCTGACAAAAAAACTGACTGAAAGATGTACGACTTGGTTGAGAAATAAATGATACACGGCCCGTGCGGTCATGCGAATTTGAATTCACCTTGCATGAAGAATGGTGTTTGCACGAAAAGGTTTCCAAAGAAGTTTGCACAGCGAACTGAGGCCAATGATGATGGTTACCCTGTATATAGGAGAAGGGACGATGGAAGAACGCTAATGAAGAAAAACACAATTCTTGACAATGGTTTTGTGGTTCCTTACAACCGTACATTATTGAGTAAATACCGAGCCCACATCAATATCGAGTTGTGCAACCAGGGCAAGTCAATAAAGTATCTGTTCAAGTACGTCAACAAAGGACACGATCGTGTCACAACAACATTTTTTCAACCTTCGTCTACAGACGCCGCTTCTGTTGTACGTGATGAAATCAAGATGTACTATGATTGTAGATATTTATCTGCGTGCGAGGCGATGTGGAGGATTTTTGCATTCGATATACACTACAGGGATCCCCTGTCATTAGATTGAGCTTCCATCTCCCCGACCATCAGCCGTTGATATTTAATGAGAACCAATCTTTAAAGAGTGTCCTGGAAAGACCAACAACAAAGAAAATCATGTTTTTGGCGTGGTTCGAGGCGAACAAGAAGTACCCACCAGCTAGGGAATTACGGTATGGAGAGTTTCCCCAGCATTATGTGTACAAGGAGGATTCTCGTGTATGGGTGCCGAGAAAGCAAGGGTTTTCTATTGGAAGAGTCACCACTGTACCCCCGGGAAAGGGAGAAGACTTTTATCTGAGATTGCTGCTCAACATCCAGAGAGGGTGCACCAGTTACGAAGACATACGAACGGTTAGTGGCAATGTTTACGCGACATTTAAGGATGCATGCTATATTTTGGGGCTGCTTGAGGATGACAAGGAGTACATTGGTGCAATCAAAGAGGCGTACGGTTGGGCAAATGGCCACTTTCTCAGACTGTTGTTTGCTGTTATGCTAATTTCTAAGAGTTTGAGCAGACCGGAATATGTTTGGGAGAGTTGTTGGTCGAATTTGTTCGATGACATTACATACAAGCACGAAAGGTGCCATAATAATCCAAGTATCGATTATTTTTATGTTGTTTTACAATTTTTAAGTTGCATTTTTCAATTTTGTGAACGCATTTGTCCTACTAACTATACCTTTTGCATGTTTGACTCTATCAGATGATAGTTTGAAGAACTATGCGTTGATTGAAATCGAGAAAATCCTACAAAGCGACGGCAAGAGCTTGCGGAATTTTGACTCTATGTCTGTGCCACTACATTCGTCGAATGACACGGAGAATCGATTAGTGCTCGATGAGTTGGACTACGACGTCGTTGCGGATGGCTGAAGAACTGAAACGATATCTATCTTCTATCACAGACGAGCAGAGAAAGGTTTACGATACCATCATGGATGTTGTATCGAAAAATAGCGGCGGGATGTACTTCCTCTACGGTCACGGAGGAACCGGAAAGACATTCATATGGAGAACGTTGTCCGCTGCAATTCTTTCCAAAGGAGAAATAGTTCTTAACGTTGCTTCGAGTGGCATAGCATCTTTGTTGCTTCCCGGTGGCCGAACCGCTCACTCCAGATTTGGACTGCCCATCATTGTGCACGATGGTTCCACCTGCAGCATTACACAACAGAGTCCGCAGACAGAATTGCTTATGAAGTCGAAACTTATTATATGGGACGAGGCCCCGATGATGCATAGAAACTGTTTCGAAGCGCTAGACAAGACGATGCGATCTATCACTCATGTTCCCAAACCATTCGGCGGCAAGGTGGTCGTTCTTGGCGGAGACTTCAGACAGATTTTACCTGTTGTGCTGAAGGCATCAAGGCAAGACATTGTTCACGCTACGATCAACTCATCTCAGCTTTGGAAAGACTGTACGGTTCTTAAGTTGCATACGAATATGAGGCTTCAATCAAGCTCTAATCCATCTGAAGTTGACGAAATAAAGGAGTTTGCTGATTGGATACTGAGTATCGGTAATGGGGAGGCGGAAGTAGGGGTGGTAAACGAGCCGAGCCGGCTCGCGAACTCGACGAGCCGGCTCGACAAAGGCTCGAACTCGAGCTCGGGTTTTTCGAGCTCGAGCTCAGTTTTAGTTGTTCGACAGCTCGCGAGCTTCTTATTAAATTTTTTTTCTTATATATATATATATATATATATATTATTGTTATTATTATTATTATTAATAATAATATTTTTATTATTACTGGAAAAAATGGGTGGAACTATTTTATTATTAACTGAAAATATCTAAATACACTACAACACAAAACGTCATCTATAGCGCTCAAAAAATGCTATTGTAGGCTATTATAGCGCTTTTACAAACGCTATGTCCGCCGGAGCTATAATAGACCCCGACCCTTCTACAGCGTTTTATAAACGCTATCATAGGATATCTTTTGATAGCGTTTGTGTTGCGCTATCATCCATTATTATTGTAGCACTTTATCATTGCCATGTACTGTATTTGCAGCACTTTATAAACGCTATGTAATTGTATTTTGTAGCATTTTTTCATATGCTATTGTTTGAACATTTATTACATTCGCTAAACGCTATATTTAAATTAATTTTATTTTTGCCACTGCTTTGACTAGTTGCATACCATGCATGAAAACTATTATATATCTATTGCTGCAAAATAGTAATTAACATACTTCAACTTAATAACAACAATAAATATATAATACTACTTTTATACAGCTCCAAACAATAATATAACAAAATAAAAATATCCCATAAGATTTTATTATGATAACAAAGAAAAAGAAAGTGACAGAAAGGGCTAAGCCGATATAAATTATATTCGATTCAATAGTATTCACTAGGTTACAAAAGACATGAAAGACATGAAATGAGAGTTATTTTGGAGAATACCACTAGAACCAGTGCGACAAGAATAATGCGAAAACCAGAAGATCAACGTCCCATTTTTCACTCTCATGTTTCCTCTGGTACCTGTGGAGGAAAAATAGAAATTTTAGGACACAATATTTGAATAGTCAAGCATAAATTACCTGAACTAGCTAATTATACAACTATTGATAGGCAATAGCAACATATTATAGAGTCACCAGTCACCAAGAATAAGCTTTAGACAACGAAATAACAAATACTTTGTTTCTATGAGATAATACCAGTTTCTACTACAGGTAGAACATGATACGAGCTAATTACAACTTCATCACTAGAACTAAGCTTAAATCTACATGTTCATGCATGGATAGTGGAAAATATATAGTAATTTATAAGCCCACATCTTGTTGCAATGGCAACATCATAATTAAAGTTATATCCATAAATATATGCATGGGTGATGGAAGAATGTAGATAACAACAATGCACATTATAAACTTACTTGTTATTACACTGTCATCTTTTTTTTTTTTCAATTGAGCTCCGATCACATGCAGTTGGTTTATCAGCATTCATCAATGTAGTATTTGCATTTCCCATTTTGTTCAAATCTCTGTAAAATGTAACCATAACTTGCATAACAACGAAATAACAAGGGTCAAAATATAAAAAAAAATAAAGATAAAACTAACTTTGCACTTAACTCTGTACATTAACTTAATGAAATTCTAGACTTCAAAAAAGACTATATATAAACAGAAAAACTAAGAACAACAAAAGGATTTGGGATAAAAGAAATAATTGAGTGCAAATTTTCTGATTTCTTTATCCATCTCTAATGCCAAATCAATGAACACCTATCTAGGATTCACTAAATCATTTTGAAGAATTTCATCTTCAGTACCCAGTCATTACAACTTAAAAGTCCTATGTCCAGATGAAAATTCAAGATAAGTATATTTAAAATTATCACATACTGGCAGAGATTGTTTTACTAAAACTTAAATAAAAGGTAATAAGCATTTACCCTTCTTTTCCTTGTTTAATAGAAGAGTCATTCGAGATTGAAATTTTCTTCAGGCTCTCTTATCCAACTGCCTGCACTGATCAGAACAAGAAATATTGCACGCAAGAATTATCCATCAACAAATCTAATTCCATAAACCTTCTTTTGTCCTATAAGTTGAACCAAAAAGTTAATCGAACATTCATCGTGCAATTTGAGAAGTAACAGTTATGCTAGATCTGCAAACTTCAACAACTCAAAAGTAAAAACCAACAATTCCAAAATATGCGTGTGCATGTGAATATATTGTATTTCACAAATAAATAATCCTCGCACATTCAGATATTCATAAACTTACAAATTGTTTGGTAGAAGAGTTTTTGTATTCAAGTGAAATAATGACTTTGAGAATATAATCACTATTCATTTTCATCTAAAAACCCTAGAGCAATCTAATATTCGGTGGGGAAGAAACACAATAGAAATTTAGGGTTATTGCAAATAAACTGAAATTCAGAAAAAATACAGAGAATTGGAGTTACCAATTACGATTGGAAATCGTAAAGACGGTCTCGGTAAATCAATTTGTAGAGAGACCGACATAGTACTTTGGAAAGGTCGGATGGAGTATTTCACATGTCCGACAAGAGAAGGATTTCGCTAGAAACATTCTGGCAAGACGATGCAGACTAATTGACGACCTCAATTGGAGAGAGATGTCAGATTGGAATTGAGAATTTTTCCCTTCAGAAAATGAGGTTTGAAGAACAGGGGTGAGGACGGAGTCTTTTTAAGGGAGTGCTAAGCGATTTTTTTTCCGCGGCCCAGTTATAGCGTTTCTTTATGTATTATAAACTAATTAGAGCATCTCCAACCATTGGGTTTTGGAGCTGCTATATGCTAAAAAATCAGAAATTTAGCATTTGTGAACTAAAAAACCATCTCCAACAGAGATGTTAAAATTTTGCTGGCAAGGTAAAATTAATCACCCAAGAGCTATATATACCATCTACTGTACATGAAAGCTAAATGAAGAAATATTAAAATAATAAATAAAAAGTACTATACCCATTCACAAAGCACACGTCTGAGTTTGTGTATTTTTTTTTTTCCTTTTGGTTCTAACTTCTTTCTACTTAAGTTTAATTTATTTATTTAGGTAATTTTATTCAATTTTTATTTATAAAAGACATGTTCCATAAATCTAATTTTGGTATATTAGGTTTAGTTATCTTTTTATGATTTTTCAATGTTTGATTCATTTATTAAATTTATAAAATATATTATTATTAATAAATTAATTACTATTTATTTTAAATAATGAATTCATAAAATAATTATAAAGATATAAAATCAAATCAAATTATAAATACTATATATAACAAACAGTGCTTACAAATATCAATTCATAAAATAATTGTAAAATAATAAAATGCTTTATTTTAAATGATGTGATTGGAGTAGGATAGTAAAAAGGGAGGTGGTATAACACTATTCACTAGCTATTATAGATATAGCATCTCCATTTTTAGCTCTTCGCCTTGGAGATGCCCTTATAGCATTTACTATAAAAACGCTATAATAATGTGCTATAAAAACCTAATTTTGTTGTAGTGATATTAAGTAGTCTATAATACGTACTACTAGCATTTAAATAGAAAAAATATAGATTACTTATAATTTAATACTTAAATTAATAAACTAAATCAATAAAGTAAAAGTAATTAGAAGTCGGCAGGTCTTAGTCTTTAGTTTACCCTTTACTCCTCAGTCCTTCATTATTCTTAGACGGTAAAAAAAGTGAAACTAGGGCAGCCGTCAGTGAGAGAAACAAGAAAGAAATCTGTTCATCTTCTTCAAAGGCCAGAAAAGAATTTCATTGTTTTGAAGCTTTATTCTTTCATCAATCATTGTAAGGTGTGAATTTATGGAGCAATAAGTCTTTTAATTTTTGCAGCAATATTTTTTTTTTGTGCATTTCTTTTTTGTTTTGATCGAGCAATATTTTTATTTTGTGGCTTGATTTCAATTTGTTTGGAGTCATTTGAGTGAGAAAATAACATATAATTTAATTATTGTTTGTTTCGATTTAATTTTCAATTTTATAATAATTTTCTTACCTATTTATTATTTTCTGGTTTTTGCAGTAATGAGTTTTCACACACATGACGAAAACAATGAACCGTTCATGCAATGTTCCTCACATACAGAAGAAGAAGAATTTGCGCATGCTAAAGATCGTATCTTTGTACCCTCAAATACTGAAGATCTTGGGCAGACTACTACTAACAATATGGTTGAAGATGGTGGAGTATAAAATAAGCGTCGTGCAATAGGCCTGGGCAAACGGCCAAGAACATCAACTATTTGGAACGATTTTAAAGAGATTAAGTATGCTAATGGTGTCATAAAGATCTCCTGCAAACATTGTAAAAGTGTGTTTGCAAAAAGTAAAACTACTCTGACAACTCCGTTGCACAGACATTTGAAAAAATGTGCCACCTTTCTAAAAGAAAAAGGCCTTACGAGACAGGGAGAATTCGTTACAAACACAAATTGGTGTTTTGCCGGATAATATAGATTCAACTTCATATCCAGCGCTACATGATGGAAAATTTGACATGGACAAAATGAAAGAGGTGATAGCTCATTGGATAATGATGCACGAGCATTCTTTCTCAATTGTAGAAGAAGAAGGGTTTAATTTGATGCAAAAATGTGGAATGCCCGAGTGGAAGGGATTTTCAAGAGGAACGGCAAAAAATGTTTGTGTGAATGTTTATGACCTGGAGAAGAAAAAGCTCAAAATTGTTTTGAAGAATGTAAACAAACTTAGTCTTACTACAGACTGCTGGAAGTCAGAAGAACCAGAGGATCGAATACATGGTGATTACTGGCCATTGGATCGACCAAACTTGGCATTTACAAAAGCGCATTCTCAACTTTATTTATCTTCCACCTCCTCGACGGGGTATGGATATTGCAAATGCTATTTGGCGGTGCTTAGAAGAATGGAGTATTGAAAGCAAGGTTCACACTGTGTCGGTCGACAACGCATCTGCAAATGGCGTAGCAATCAACAACCTTAAAGATTTTATCACGCGTAAAAAGCCATTGCTTTGTGATGGAAGTTTATTCCATGTTAAGTGTTGTGCGCACATCCTTAATCTCATTGCTCAAGACGGTCTTTCTGAGATTAAAGATATTATTGATATTATTCGTGATAGCGTGGAGTATGTACGTCGATCAGATGCACGACTCAAGATTTTCACGGAGATTGTGAAACAATTAAACTTGTCGGATAAAAAGTTAATTGATGATTGTCGAACGAGATGGAATTCTACGTATGAGATGTTGGCTGCTGCAATCAAATTCAAAGATGTATTTCCAAGATTTGCTGATCGAGATCTTCATTTTGAAGGCTGCCCAAGTGAAGAAGATTGGAAGAAGGCTGAAAAAGTTTGCTCAGTACTTGAGGTGTTCTGGACCACCACACACATTTTCTCTGGGAGTGATTATCCGACGTCAAACTTGTTTCTTAATGAAGTCAGTAGAGTGAAAGTGGTGTTGGATGAAAAAAGCTTGGATAGTGATGCATTCATCAAAGACATGACCGCGAAGATGAAGATTAAATTCGACAAGTATTGGGGGGAGTCAAATTTATTGATGAGTGTCGCAGCTGTTTTGGATCCAAGATGTAAAATGAGAGCACTTCAATTTTGTTTTCCCAAACTTTATTCGCCACAACAAGTTAAGGAAGAAACTGCTCGAGTTCGACAAACATTAAACGAGCTTTACTCTGAATATGTTTCAATGTATAATATTGAACACTCAAGTGGACAAGTACCACGGGACGATGGTCTTCAAAGTGAACAGAGCAAAAATTCCGAGTCTTTATGTGGTTGGTCTGAGTATGCCACTTTCTTGAGGTCCGTTGAATCAATTCAACCTCAAAAGTCTGAGCTTGACATGTATCTTCAAGAAAATTGCTATATGTCAGACAAACAAAATGGAAGAGAACTCAATGTCTTGGAGTGGTGGAGAATCCATGAATTGAAATACAGGATACTCTCAATAATGGCAAATGATATTTTAGCAATTCCTATCACCAGTGTTGCTTTCGAAGCTTCTTTTAGTGTTAGTAGTAGAGTTATTGATAAGTTTCGAGCCTCTTTGAATGCATATACTGTTCAAGTATTGATGTGTGGAGGAGATTGGTTGAGACAACGTTTTGGAGTAAAAAGAAAGACGAAGGTAAACTGTATTATCGATAAAATTTGTTTGTAATTATTATTTTATTATTGTCTTTATTTACTACTTTTTGTTTGTGTTGCAGGTTGATAAAAAAGCAATTCAAATCATTCTTCCATTTGACGATGAAGCCTCCAAGGATAATTGACATGAATCTGTTGTACATGACTACATGAGTAATTAGTAAGCTTATAATTAATATTTTTCGGTTTTAGATTAAAGGCATCAAATAATATATTGTTCATCTTACATGCAGATGAAGATTATGTCAAAGTATAGAAGATTCTAGGAAAGAACTTGCGTAGTTTGGAATGTGGATTTTGGACATATTTTTTAATATGAATCATGCAACTTTTGTATTGAATACTTCTGGACAGTTTTTTCTTTTAATAGGGTTTTTGATATATTCTTGACTTTGGACATTTTGTTTTGAATAGGCTATAGGAGTTCTATAAATTATTTTTGGAATATAGATTTTGCATAAATATTTTGAATAGGATAGTTATGATCCACAACTTATGCAAGCTGGACATTATTTTTGAAATACATTTTGAACATGTTTATATTATTGGTTGTTATAACTTATGCAACTATTTTTAATGTTTCTTAAAAGTGAAGTGTTAAATCAATTAATATGTATCTGTATTTTCTTTTCCGTTTTGTAAGTTTGTTATAATACTTTTTTTTAATTATATATATAAATATATGTAATTAAAAAAAAAAACAACCAACTTAGCTCGAGCTCGAGCTCGAGCTCACCGAAGCTCATGCGAGCTCGAGCTCGAGCCAAAAATTCAGCAGCTCGTCGAGCTCGAGTCGAGCTTGAGCTCATATTCAAATGGTCGAGCTCGAGCTCGAGCCTTCCAAAACTGGCGAGCTCGGCTCATTCACACCCCTAGGCGGGAGAGCAGAACGAAGGTGAAGCTTCTGTTGAGATTCCTGAGGACATGCTAATTCCCGATTGTGAAGATCCATTATTGGAGCTATTGCAGTTTGTGTATCCATATTTATTGAGTAACATATCAGATCCAAATTATTTCCAAGGGAGGGCAGTGCTTGCACCGACTAATGACTGCGTGGAGTCTGTCAACGACTACTTGTGTTCTCTCCTACCCGGCGAAGAGAAGTTGTACTTCAGCGCGGATAGTATGTGCAAGGATGAGTTGAGTTCGGAAGAAAATGCTGAAATATATTCGACCAAATTCCTCAACACCGTGTCTTGCTCCGGACTCCCTTCACATAGGCTGAAACTGAAGGAAAATGTTCCTGTTACGAAACATCGACCAGGCGAGAGGCCTTTGCAATGGAACCAGACTTCAAGTTTTTAGGATGGGAGTTCATGTTCTTGGCTGCAAGGTTCTATCCGGCAAAAATATCGGTGATGTTGTATTCATTCCTCGGATGACGTTGGTCCCATCGAACTCTACTTTGCCCATTAAGTTCCAGAGGCGACAGTTTCCGTTGATGGTTTGCTTTGCAATGACCATCAACAAAAGTCAGGGTCAAACACTTTCACACGTCGGTTTGTAACTACCCAAACATGTATTCAACCATGGTCAGTTGTACGTTGCATTCTCGAGAGTGAAGAGTAGATCTGGCATAAAGATCCTAATCAAGTCTGAATCCGGTGAATCATCGAGTTCTACTAACAACGTGGTGTACAAAGAAGTATTTCAACGTATATGAAGGTATATATCATGCATGCCATCCATTATTCAACTTATTATCATATTTTGTCTTATTAATGTGTGTATGTGCTCTCTATGTTTAGGTATATTTGCAAGTGATTTTTTTCTCTAGCATATCCGGTATAGTCGCTTTTGGTAAGTACTATAATCGAAATATTGCTTAATTACGCACTGATTGTTGTTTCAGTAATGCACTGGATTTCTTGAAAAATACGAAAACTTTGCAGGTTAACTGCTATGTACTGTTTGATTTATGTGGATCTTTGAGATAGTGCAGTGGGTTTGATTCCCTTAGTTTTAGTTAATTCTAGAATTTTCTCTAGAAGACATGTCGAACGGAATATGTTATTCATTCGTTTTATAAATTTTAACTTGCTTTGGGACAGATTTTTTTATTCATCCAATATCTTAACTTATATTAGTTTTATATTTAAGTGGGAATATTAGTTTTTTCTGACCCTAAATTGTTGAATATCAATTTTGTTCTTGAAGGTGATCCCCGTGCATCGCACGGGTGAGATACTAGTTCAATTTATTTGACCCTTCACATGTTTGATCAAAATTCGGGTTATTTTTAATCATGTGTTTGAAATTTAAACTCCAAACACTTGATAAGATTTGTCTATCGAACAATTATCGATAATTAATCTTATTTATCGAACAAGGTGTAGATAAATCTACAATAACTATTATGGAGATCTATCGAATGAGATTTTAGTATATTTTTCTTATTGAGTTTCAAATATTTGTTTGAAACCCAGTTTGAAATTTAGGTGAGTCGTGCTTGAACAAACTGTAGTTGTGCTGATGAATGCCATCTGAATTTGTGTAAATTTTTTTTTTTTAAATAGTTTATTAAATTATTTCTTAGCTTATTAAGTCAAACTGAGCTTTCTACCTACCATTCTCATTCTTCTGTCTTATCTTTAGGTTGGACTATTTGTTTAGTGTCCGTAGTATTCTATTTTTGATAGATTTTATTTTTAGGCAGTTGATATTTTTAGTTATTTTTCAAATTTTAGCATTATGCCTAAAACTTTTTATGTACTCATTGATTTTTGATCTATAGATAGGTTCCGAGTCCAACACAATCCCCAACCCTAATCATGTGTCGTTCTTCTTGGGAAAAGAAACTGAGCTTTCTATCTAAATTGAAAAGGGAAAAAAAATGATCAGTACGCTCTTGTTGATTTTTATTTTCACTTTATCTTTTAGCTACGATACCCGATTATCTTCTTCTTGTTTTTTTTCTTTTCTTGAATTTATTTTTTTGTATGAACAGGTTTGCAAATTCTATTTGCTGAATACCAAATGCTAATCCATTGTCGTTAGTGTTGATGTATCTTTTTTTTTTTTTTGAAAAAAGTGTTGATGTATCATTTACTTAAACTAGCTATGTTTGAGGGAGAGCCAAATATTGTTCCAGTTGACAGGTAAAAGGAAGTAGGGCTGTCGAGCTATTCCAAAACTAGGAGGCGATAGAAAATGCAAGATGAGTTGATGTATGCGAGTGGAATGATCCAAGATGAATGAATGATTGGGTAATTATCGGTCAATTATTGATCTGACTAGACCAATCGACTTTGCAAAATATTAAAATTTATTATAGATCTGCACTTTGTGGGTCGGATGATAGTTGACACCGACTTTGTTCGTTGCAAAATGAGTAAAATGGGTCGTTAATTAGTATTATTGGCCACCTAATTATTTTATAAAAAACTGTTAAAAAGGCTTTTCAAAATATTGGATAAAATTTATCATGCAAAAACCTTTAATATTAAAATTGAGAGTTTTCTACTAAATTCATACAAGTAAATATACAAAGAAGAATAGGAAATATGAGTTAGAAAATAATAATAGCACATAGAAATCTATAAGTTTGTATTTTTAGTTTTGAGTTTAACTTCTTTTATATATAAGATTTTAACTTTTTAAAGTTTTATTTTTTAATAAAATTATATTATTGAAAATTTATTATATTTAGTAGACTTGAATATTTGTCATAAATTTTAATTATTAAAAAAAATAGCCAATTAACTTTTGAGAATACTGAAAACCACCAACATATCTACTTGTATACATAGGTCGGTTAAGATTCCCAACCGACTCTATGGATTTGTTGATTTTAGATTACTGGCCATATAAATAGAAACTAATGGATCGGTTGATCGACAAAATAATCCATGCCCATCCCTAGGTACATATTTAAGTGCGAATTTATAAATTCTTGAACTATTGTATTTAATATTATGCAGAATTAGAGAACTATTGTCTTTGTTGCCCAGAATACATATTTTCATTTGAACTAAATTCAACCGCTTCAAGGATGTTCAACCCTGCTTCAGAAATAGTCGATTAATCAAACTCGATTGGTATAATTCAACGGTGTAGTTGACCATTTTTATTTGTTATTCGACTAAGTTTTTTTAGTTAATTGATTAATTTATTTGCCTAAGAGCAACTCCAATGCGAAGATATCAAAATGGAATATCAAGCGAAGATATCAAAATAGAATATCAAACACTTAATTAATTTTTGATATATTCCTTTGATGCTTTAAAAAAATTATGTGCTCCAAGTCTCCAACCCAAAGGTATCGAATAAATTATTATCCCTTTCAGTTCATACAATTTTTTTTTTTTTTGACATTGAAATTGCTAAAGAATAATTGATTTCTGTTTTTTTTTTTTTTTTTTTTGAGCATTTTTGCACCTTAATGAGACGGGGCATTAAAAAAACTAACCATTTAATTGTTGGCCAAGTCGACTAAATTTCTCGATTAAATAGATAGACTATTTTTTTCTGCACATTTTAGATATTCATTGATGCAAAGAAGAAATAGCAAAAAGAAATAAAAAGAAAAATTAAACAACTTGAAAAACAAAATTCAAAATTGTACTTTATGCATCCAATCAAAGAGTCTGTTTGTGGAGGTTGAAGGGTCATTTGAAGTCTTGGCCTAAGATAGAATGCAAGAGACATGTTCCTTTTTATGGTGTGATTATAATAAATTATTCTTAATTAATCTCTCAACAAAAGGCTAATCATTGATTATATTTCAGATATTAAATACTTCCGGACAAAATAAAGTTGACCTTTTGTCTTGGCACTATGAAACTTTTGGTAGGACTGCAAATTGAGCATAACCGAATAGGTTATTTTTATGTTACATCCCATGAAGGTTACATTGAGTGGATTTTATTATTAATATACACACAATAATATGGATGTGTGTGTTTGTGTGCTTATGAATAGTGATAATATGTTGGGTTAATAGCATTTTCCCCCCTAGACTTTGCCCGTTTTTGCACTTTCCCACCTCAACTAAAAAATGTTGCACGGTGGCACCCAAACATTCATTTTTTACGCACATAACCACCTGGAGGGAATATTCCGGCGAATCTTCTCATTTTTCAGCGCACACGCGATGCACATGCTTAAGTACAAGGGTTTTTTCGTCTTTTTACCTTAAAATATCATAAGGGGGTGAAATTGAAAGTGTCAGGGACTCAATTGAACTTAATTTTAAACTTTCACAAATCTGAAATTAATTGAAGCTTTGTGGCTTCATCTTCAATGGAATCAAGACACCCACCGCCGGTGAACTTATAATTTTTTTGTTTTTTGAATAATATTTTAAGTTTAACAAACAAAATGATATATAATGATACATGTATATAAAATAGAACTGTCTTTTTTTTTTTTTTTTTTTTATATAAAGGACAAAAATAATAAAAAGTCAAAAAAAAAAAAAAAAATATTCAATTGAAGGAAGACAGATTTCCATTTTCCGGATTTCCTAACAAAATTAAAATAAATTTGAGGCTCAGATCTGTAGTTGAAGCAGGCAAAAGAGAGCACCCACCACGCCATGGCTAATGAAAAAAAACCGGTTGCCTGTAAAGGCCATCCGGGTCGCCCCGCCAAGATACGGGTGGGTTAGATCTAAAATGCCCGATTCATCAGCCCAGAAAAAAAAGAATCCAAGAAAAATTATCATCACAGCCTCCATTACACATTAGATACAGATATACGACGACGACGACGACAACAGCGAATGGTATCGACCCATGAAAAAACACACACACACACACACACACAAACAACTATGGCTTCCATGGAAAATTTGGTTTCTTTGTTCACCGGGATGCGGCGGTGGGTGTTTTGATCCCATGGAAGATGAAGCCACAAAGCTTCAATTGATTTTCAATTTGTAAAAGTTTCAAATTAAGTTCAATTGAGTCCCTAGTACTTTCAATTTCACCCTCTTATGATATTTTAAGGTAAAAAGTCGAAAAAGCCCTTGCACTTTCGCATGTGCATCGTGCGTGCGCCGGAGAGTGGAAAGATTCGCCAGAATATTCCTTCCAGGTGGTTATGTGCGTCAAAAATGAATGTTTGGGTGCCACCGTGCAACTTTTTTTAGTTGAGGTGGGAAAGTGCAAAAACGGGCAAAGTCTAGGTGGGAAAATGCTATTAACCCTAATATGTTCGATGTTTTTCATTCGGTGTAGCATAGTATAAACCACCCGAACCTGATAGTGCCGCCCGATTTTTAATTAATTTGCCCTATTTAATTGTTGGCCTGCACAAATTTGAGCCATATGATTAGACTTCAAAAAACTTATGAATCTGATTTGAACACAATCAACCTGAATTAAGTTCTACTAAATAAATAATCAAATATTTGTTTTGTGAAAAATAGGATACTACACTTTTAGGAAGGTCTAGTCTCGAATTTCTGAATGCCATGAGCATAGTTCAAAATTGTAGCCATACCATATATATATATATATATATATATATATATATATATATATATATATATATACACACCAACATTGGCCTAAAAGTGAAGTGTAAATTGAAGGAAAATAGAAGTTAAAAAGAACATAGTAGACGATTGAGGGTGATAAGGAACGTCAAATTGGATTCGTGTTGCAAAATAATTATTTAATTCGGAGAAGAGTTATTAATGGGCATTGGTGGAAGTATTGAAAGAAAATATGGAAAAATAAGGGTTTTCGACGAACTCAAATTGTATTTGAGTACAAAACGAACTCTATCTCAAGTGAAACGGCGCAAGGAACAAAACCCATGAGCAAAGCTCACGAATCACGTCAAATTTCAGCAATCCAACGTCGTTTAGACTCCCAAAAGTTCGTTTTTGCTATTTTAGGTAAGTTTTAGAAAATTAATATCAAATCATATAAATATCGGATTAAGATCCGT